AACTTTGAAATGATGACGTCAATCGTGCGTCTGTCCTCTAATAGATCATAGGCGAGAACCAATCAAAATGCGAGAATAACTTGGGTTATTATATAATCTTTTATAGCGAGTAGCATAGCAGTGTGCAGTTGTTAACAAACTGGCGGCCACTTCTTTGCGTTTTCACGAAGTGACTGTGAAGAGTATTTTGTTCCAGTTTTGAACGACTAGTAGATTTATACTAAAACAATTAAATTATGCGCTCTCGATTTCTATGCGTGATAACATCAGGACTTAATGTCTTGTCAGTTCCCCAACCTGCTTTACCAATAAAAAATAACAAATAAGCTGACTCGGGCGGCGCCCTCGTCAACCGACTATCACGTGATAGCAATCCAGCTATAATCTAATTGTTCAATATAAACTTTACCACCTTGCAGAACTCATATCACCTAAATTACCTGGTATTCTTCTTCTTATCGGCATAGTTTGCATGATATGCTTCTTATCCGAGGCGACGCGAACTGATACACAGTATAACAATGGCTCAGGAAAGCAAAGGAAGTTTAAGGGCAACATAGAGAGGAAACTAGAACAGTATGCTGCAAATATCTTGCTATTGGAACTTAAAAGTTTCAAGCATCTCTAACGTACGTTCTCAGTTTATAGATTTAGCCCGCGTAGAATGTTTGTATTTCAAACCGAAACTAAATGGGTAAGAGTAAGTAAGAGTAACAGTACATCAAATTCGGCTGGATAAGTTTTAAAGGATGAAAAAGTAAAATTAAATAACCTTTATTTATCCTCGGCAATGTTTATAGCACAAGTGCTAGTGGGGCCGAGCAAACAACTGAAACAAATAATTCAAACTGAACATAACATAGAGATTGTGCTGAACATAACATAGAGCTTGTGCTGAACGTTTCTTGGCGTTTAAAAATTTGTCTTTCCATCCCGTCGCCGTAGAAGATGGTCTTATAGATTGTCCGGAAAAAAGCGCCAAGTAAAGTAGAATTGTTCTAATTATTCTGCCAATTTTTACGAACAATTTTGCTATGTTTGGTCACGCTGACTTCATAAAATATCAGAAAGTTATTCTGAATTTTCTTGTGAGCGGGTGCAGACAATTAAGTGGAAACAGAAGCCCATGACCCGGAGACTCCATCTCCCATACTAACCGTTGGAGTCAACCCTTTCCCGTATCGTTTTATTTTTATTTGACCTCCTGCGAGTTTTGAAGCCCCGCCTTTGAGGCCCCCTCCACACTATGCCAGAGAAAATTGAAAACACAGCTTTAATGATTTCTAGGCCTTTTTCTAGGTTAGGCCTACCGTTCACACTAACCCGTCTCGAAAATGGAGCTTTTCGAAAACGCTCTTCAAACCGGAGGAATTTGAAAACCTCCGGTTTTGCATTTTAATGTAGACGGAAAACATTTTGAAAACGGAGCTTTTCGAAAACGATGACGTCACGGTAATCATATGATTTCTCTGTCTGAGTTTTCCTCAAACACAAATCCAAAATGACCGGCGAGTATTGTTGCGTTTTCAAATTTCTCCGGCGTATAGTGTGGACGGAAAACATTCGATGCATTTTCAGAATGAAACCTCCTTTTTCAAATTTCTCCTCGTAGAGTAGACGGGGCCTGAAATGCCCGATGAGAACACAGTTATAGCATTTCATTGTTGTTAGGCAAGCCGCACTCGCGCGTTTAATATAATGAATATCAGGAGCCCATGAGAGCTCTGGTGAAAGATATTCCTAAGAAGGTGTATGTGGTGGCAGGAATTCCTTGCCCACCTGCGCTCCTAACTTAGGTTTGTTCCTGAAACTACAACCTTACATGATAGAAAGAAGTGATTTGCAGTGTTGAATGACTAATGAACAGCTGGACCGAATCGTCTGCCAGTCATGTTAGCCTACTGACCCAGACAAAGTAAATCTTGCCAGTGGTCTCGATATTTTGGTTAAATACAGGAAATCGTTGCTACTGGCAATGCTGTTAAATGTGCCTACCTGTGGCGGCCTAATGAGAGGGTCACGGCACAGGGGTATTCTCATGATGCGTGATTAGCTGGTTTTATTTTCCGAGCAGGTGATTAAAAAGAGAAACTTACTTACTTCGGGAAAATGAAATTTTGATATCCGTGATTCGCTATTTTTTCCGTTCGTGAACCGTGCCAGAGACCCCCTGTGCGAACCTCTAATGGGCTGGCACGGTCAAGGTTACAAAATTTTACAACATGAACTTAACACAGTACAATTTAGCAAAACAATCATCAATTCTGTCTACGGAAACACCAATCTATCGTATTTCAGATGGTAACAAAAGGGTTACGTTTATATTTTCATGGCGGATGCAGTCATAAAACTATAGGGAGCCTTCTTAACATCCACTAAAGAAGCTATCATGGTTCTATTAGCGCGGTGTACATTTACTATAACATAATTACATCTTATAAAATCCGGTTTATGGAATTCCAAGGAAACATAGTTTAACATTGAAAATAGGCTTGAGATCGTCCCTTTTCAAAAAAAAAAACCTATGAAATTTATGTAATATCTTGTACAATTAATATTACTTGTAAATTGAACAACACAGACTCGAACAGAGAGTTAACAATTGATTCATGCTTTCACGTGCTTCGATCATCATAGAGTTCTGACGCACATGCACGCAGGAAGTTTGAAGAACACCGAGGAAGATTAGTAAGAATTGCTCGAGGCGCAGCCGGAATTGCCACTCTAGTTTCGTGAGCGCTCTCCAATCTTCCCAAGGATATCATAACATACCACTTGGGCCCCTTGAGCTGCCTTGATTTCTTTTCGGGCATGTTTTTGCGAATACGGTCAGATATGATGTATATCGTGGGGATTTTTAACTATGTTGCTTTTATTTGAAATATTTGTTTCCTTTGTTTCAGTGGCACGCCTGCAAACTAGCTTAGCCTAGTGCTTGTATAGCTAAGTGCATGACCACTATAAATAAGATTTAGATTTACATTGTAGTGTTTCTCTATTTGGGGGCTTTTTTTAAATCTATCTTAATGTTTTTGAATTTTGGCGGTAGCCCTCTAATTCAGCAAACTCTGACAGCTTTTCCGGCGATGTTGAGTGTTTGAATGTTTGAGCTGTGTAATGAACAGTGACAACAAGCCTTATTGTACTCGTACTTGCAATTAAAGCACATTTTGAAAGAAAGAAAAATTACCGGTTGTCTGGCTATTGGAGCCAGACAGCCAATTTAGATATCAAACGAAGAGGGTCGTACAGGTGGGGTCTCTGGCACGGTTCGCGAACGGAAAAAACTTGAGGATCACGGATCAGGGAAATAAAAATTTCATTATCCCGAATCATGAAAATAGGCAAGTAAGATACTCTTTTTAATAACCTGTTCTTACATTAGAAACAGTGTTTGAAGAAAGCAAAATCGCGAATGGTTATTTCAAGGCTCCATATTGCAAATCGCATACATGAGTCACTCTCGATAGACGACCCTGACCATTCGGAGGACTTACGTCACAAAATCACGTAGAATAGAGTGGTAAAATCACGAATATCGGTTAATAATTCAGGTTCTTCACGGGTCACGCAAAACCTTCAGGTCACGAGTTACGAAGAATAATTTTTTAAATCAAAGTTTCACGGAAAATAAGATCAGCTAATCACGCATCACGAGAATACCCCTGTACGACCCTCAATTTACGCAGGGCCCCTTTTGATACCAGCCAAGTGCTGATTGGGCCACCCTGCCTAAATAAAGTTGACCTTGAAGGGAATCATTAGTTTGTCAAATAGGGTTTTGCTACTGGCAGCTTACCGGAGACCATCTTATCTAGCTGGACCCTAAATTAAAATTGATGTTCACTTCCGCTACCGGAAGTGTTGTTGCATATACGGGAGTACCCTGGTAGCAGAGCCGCTTCGATCTTTCCTAGATCTAAGAAAGATCGAAGCGGCTCTACTGGCAAGGTAATAGGGGAGTTGTAAGGAAGGCAATTTTTCAAGCGAAAAGGATTTTTTTTTTGCGATTTTTGCGTTTTAGGAAAATCGTGAAAAATCAAAACTACCGAAAAAAAAAGAGAGGCAAGAGAGCACAAAAAATGAACACCAGAATTTTCATACCAAGAAAGTTATATGTGAATTTTAATGTTATCAATCACTGGGTCGTTGGTAGTTGTTCTATTTCCGTCCTTGAAAATACACAATCTTTATGGTCTTGTTTTAAATTAGTCAGCACTCTTCCCTCGATGTGCTGTTGTCCTCAGCTTGTAGATCCACCAAAACCTCTTTAGTGCAGTCATTAAATTTTCTATTTGTAGGCTCCATGTAGTGAAACGGGGTCCTCGGATCAGGATTTGGGAGACTAAGGTTGTCTGGCTTACCGTATACCTTTAGAGCACCCTTACAGGTGTCTCGCGTGACATCGCGTCTAAGCAAAGGATGTAGGTCGTAGAAAATTCAAAAATTCATTTTATTTCAAAATTCTTGTCATATATAGTTTGATAGCCAGCTCTATGAGTTTTACTTTTATATAGGGGTTTAGGTATCTACAGTTTAAACCGGACGCGCTACATCGCTTGGACGAACGCGCGAAAACTTACCCGTCATTCTTTGGGATATGGAGATGAGTACATCCGGGAAAGCCCAAAATGCAAGACAAAATGGCGGCACCAAACAAGGTGACAGATACCAGAACAGAATTGGCCGAACTCATCAAGAAAAGGGCAGAGATCGCTGTAAGTTGTCGTCAAACTCTCAACTTATTTCTTATGATCAATCCATGTGCTTCCCTTTTGAGTTTTTGTTCGTTTTTTGCGTTGAATCTTAAGAAAGATGGTCGAACGATACATCCATGACGTCAGAGCGATTGGGCGCCAAAAAATATACACGTTTACTGGATTTATCGCCAAATATGTCTTCAAAAGTGATCAACACTCACATATGATGAGACGATTATTCCTTGAATAAGATTTTTTTTTTTCAACAGTTTTCGATTCCTGTGTACTTCTATCACTGCGTTAGCCGTTGTAGAGATTTGCAACTTTGATCATTCGGGAAGGGTTTTCCCTTGTAAGATTTATTTTTGAATTGTAAGATATCTTTATGTGGCCTGTCTGGGACTGTTTTGCGGGGTCCAGGAAAGTAGCCAATTCAAAGAGAATGTGGGAATTTCCTTTAAATTTCACTGACTGCTAGATAATTTGTCTAGAATTTCAGTTTAGAATGCAGAAATCTCCAATCCCTATTTGGTAAATGGTACTATATAACCAGGTCGTTTAAGAGTTTGCTCCAATTTTGTGAATAACTCTCTCCAAATTATGCACCTTGTGTTTAATTCTATATTTTCTGTATAATTTTTTTCAGAGACCATAATTTGTCCAACACCCCCCAAAAACCATATTTTTGATTTTTGGTAACTTTTTAAAAGAGTGTAAATTTATATTAAGAAAAAAGGTGGAACAGATGAGGCAGTGTTGATTTAACCTTAAAACCTAGAAAACATCCCATTATAGGCCCTAAAATTGCCCAAATAAATGAAAATAAATGGTAACATACTTTAAGAGATCTAAAGATCTATTCGTTCATCTAGGAGATTTGGCAACACGTCTGGGAGACCATGAGATTTTGAAATATGTCTGGAAAATGTATGTTAGAGCGACAAAATAATTTGAGATTCTGTGATAAATTTTGCACAGTATTTTATTCAGGTAATTGGTAAAGGATAATTTGACTGGTAATTATTTTAGAGACTATATTGTGTTGTCATTACCATTAGTGGGAGTTAACCCTAAACAGCCTAACCTGGTAACTTGCATTTAGCTGTCAATAATGGTTAAGCTAAAACTTTGCAATGTATTCTGAAGGAATTACCAGGTACCTGTTTTCCTTTACCCATTACCTGTTATCTGTTACCTGAAAAAATTTTAAACTGTTTAAATTTTTGGATGTTGATCTATACTCGACTTTTTTGTGTTGAATCTCAGTCACGATACATGTGAGGAATGATCATAGCCAAGAAAAATAGACAATTTTTATCTTTTTGCTACTATTGCTTTAGACTAAGAGGTTTCTTTCCCCATGTTTCTGTTACTGATTACTAGGAAAGTCTTGCCAATCTCGAGCGACAGATATATGCTTTTGAAGGAAGCTATTTGGAGGATACACAGCTCTATGGAAACATAATCAGAGGATGGGACAGACTACTCACAAATAAGTAAGCTAAACTGAGTATTGCTCAGTCCTATACATGTATGTAGTACATAGGTATCAATCAAGCCTGTGGATTTGAACTCAAGCTTAAAATGACTCTATATTTATAGAACTACCAACACAAAAGTTGAAAGAAGAAACAGGAAATTCAAAGATGCAGAGAGACTTTTCTCCAAGTCATCCATAACATCACATGCGGTAAGTGCATTTGTCATCACTATAACTGTGAAATAAGAGGGATTTGTTGGTTGCATGCTTATTTTTCCTTTTTCACTGCCATGCATTAAGCACAGATATAAGCATTTTGTGACATTCTTCAGTGATATAGCTGTCACCAGATCTCAAAATGTCAGCAGATTGTCAGTTTAAACTGATAATCTGCACTGAGCTTGATCCGTTAAGTGTCTAATTATTCTAAATTGCTATATTTTGTTGTTTGTAATATTTCTTGCAACGCTCACAAATATTGTAGGCAACCTCGCACCCTTGTTGGCTTAGTGTATTTCTTGTTCCAGAAAAGGAAGGCTTATTTGACAGGGCAAGGCTGTATAGGGGATTTATAGTCTTTGAACCAGACCTTTCATTGTAATGGTGTTTGTGTTATTAGGCAATTGCAGCTGGAGGAGGCCTGACAGAACCTCTTCCTGAAAAAAGTAAGTAGAATGACACTGCACTGCTTATTAATAGGTAGCCCGTATCACAGCTGCCCTCCTGAAAGACACTCTCTGGTTTTTTCTATTGGGGCGGGGGGCTGTGACATAGACTTATTTGACCGGAGACAAATGTGGTATGTGCATGCCTATACAATTAAGACTTTCGCACCCATTGTATATACCAGTATGCGTCCTTACTGTGCACAAAGCTCATGCTGCAATGTCACAGCATGTCATGTGTGGAGCGCATGCATGCATTAAGGAAGAAATAGACACAATTTAAATGCTTGTACAGGTTGAGTTAACTTTGCCTAAAGTTTACTCTAGTGACCCCTCCCNGTCATAGATCTAGAGAGCCAAGCTTTGGAGAGGTAAAGAAAAATAGAATATCATTAACAAATCTTTATTTGTCAATTAAAGTGGCAGGGTGCAAAAAAAAAAACACAATTTTCTTGCTTGCCTGGACTACTGTATGATGAAGTAGCTCAAAAGTCATTTTCACTAGCCCCCCTAAATTTCGTCTCTTGCAAAACTTCTGTAATTAAATTTCCTTTAAAATTATGCTTAAAACTCCACTTGCCCATCAGGCAGGTCAAAGACAGAATCTACTAGTCCCACTGGAAAATCCACTAGAAAATCCACTAGCCATGGGCTTTCTTTGCACGCCGAGTTGACATTGTTCTTGGGTGAATATCTCAATGCGGTGTAAAATAAATTACAATATTTAGACAGGAAGCCACATCAGCCTTAGCTGGTTTTCATGCGAGTCCTCTATCCTGGAATTGAAATTTGGAGATGTTGGTTTTTGTGGAGGGAGGAAAATGGGAAAACCCGGAGAAAAACCCTCGGAACAAGGCAAGAACCAACAACAAACTCCTCACACATATGGCACCAGACCAGAATCAAACCCAGGTGACAGTCGTGGGAGGCGCCACCGCGCCATCCCTGCTCCCCTGTGTATATGTAGTATATTGGTACATACATTCTAAAGTTGGTCTCCCTTTGTTTTCAGGATGAACATGAAGATTAAGAAAATCCTTCCAGCAATGTTCTTGAGAATTTTCCTGCAGGATATGTACTAGTTTTTAAGGGAGAACTCTGGGCTGAAAGGCAGTGGGGTGGTGGTGGGGGGNTAAGTTGGACTGGGGTAAGAAAGATTGGTACGTGTAGAGCTTCCCTTCTTCAAACTAATGAAAAACAAGATTTATTAAGAAGTATGCATTAGTGCATATATAGTGTTTTTATGGATGTTAAATGAGAATAGGCATACTGAAGCAAAAATATCCAGCACTCTTCAAGACAATTTTGTCTGCAATTGGTGTATTGTTGCAGTTTTCAACAGGAAATAAATTAACCTGTTATTATTTTTTTTCCACTTCATTGTTACATATTGTTATATATTTGGATTATCCAACTTCATTTAGTAATTTCTTTTTCTCTGTGTTCATAAGAATTAATGAATCAGTACATTGTTTTTTTCCCATCAATTACATGTAAATAATATTGTTATTTTCAATTAATTTTGAGTATAGAGGTAAACATTACCAAGAGTACTCTTGGAAAAATAACTGCACTCGCTTTTCACAAAATATGAGTGTTCATAATGTAAATAGGCAAGTTTCTCTTGTTTTTCAGCTCTTAGTCACTGAGTTGAAGGTACAAACATGTTCTTCCATGGAAGGCATATAGCTAAGAGAGTATGAATTAAAATGGAATTTAGACTTGAAATGTACCCACAATTTGGTAATTTAAGCTCATAAAAATCATGTTTGATAGTCATAATTTGTGCTTACAAATCAGCATTGTAAATTACTGTGAGCTTTCCGTTTATCATGTGCTCTAGTTTTAGTGACATCTTGTAGGTAAACTTAATTTTATGTTCATAAAATAATAACTGTGCTTGCACGATAATGAAATAATAAAAAAGAACATTTTTAAACTGAAGTATGTGTGAATGTGATATTAAGCCTCCCACAGGAGGGCACCCTTGGTCCAATCAAGTGAGATGTCTGTATGAGAGGTTAGTAAGTGTTCCGTTCATCTGGCTGGAATCATACCTGAGTGTTAGGACACTCGGACGCCTACTTCTGTTTCTCTCTAGACCACTGGTAGTCTTTTTCTCTCGAAATCAGGAAGGGAGAGTTTCAGACTAAAAGGGACTGGAACAAGACATAGGCGTGACACTTACAAGGTTCGTTTCTCGCCGCTCTCTCGAGCAGCGCGGGCTCCTTTCCTGAACGTGACGGCGGCTGGTAATCGACTGCTAGGCACCCACAATCCCAGTTTTGTAGTTTCTGCCCGAAATTGCCTGGCATCCAGGTTGAATTACGTTGTAATGCAAATGAGGAAAGTTAACCGTGAAAAGAGCAATTGTTTTTCCCTCGTCTCGCCCCAGTTCCTTCTCATCCATACTGCCCTTTTTGGTTCGCGTTCACTTCACGGATAAATAAGACACCAAGACAAAAGATCGGCCGCCAGCAGTTTAATTTCTCTATTCTACTGATTCCTATACTTAGTCCAACGTCACTGCTAAGAAAAGTGACCGGGTATGGGAGGTGTCCACATGCCCTCAAGTGCTGTTAGTGGATATTGACTGCACCAAAACTTCAGGTGCCATTCTGAAGTTTGATAATTGCAGGAGGGGTTGATTAGAGGGGTAGAACACACCAGTCATTTCCACTCTCCTAAACGATAATTTTGTCCGGAAAACTAAAAAAAGGCCTTTTCATGGATCATTGGCTAGCGCACCCGCAGATGAAGCAGGAGTATTTTCAGGAGGCTGGCAACAGTTTCCAGCACTTTTTTAACAGCTATATTTTGAAGGATGAACACTACCACTGTTTAACAAGTGATGCTACAATAATGGGAATATGCAAATACCCAATTATTGGTAAACAAGTTGCAATCATCTATTTTACATAACAGATCACCACAGGAATAATATGACCTGCTAAAAACACCCTTAATTTTAGCTTTAAGCGCTTATAACTCAAAAACGAGCTGGGTGACCCCTATTTTTTATTATCGAATTGTGATAAGCATGATAAGATGCAACTTTTTGCAAAGTTTAAAAAGACTTCTGTGGAGTGGGTTCAGAGCCACGTTCGTTTTGCGAAAATTTCGTGCATTAAGGTAATCAGAAAAACATAAATGCCATGTACCAGCCATAAATGTAATAAAAATTGCCCATAAATGTAATAACTTTTAACCACAAATGCAAAATATCCACTAAACATAAATGTGATAAAATTTGACCATAATGATGTAATAAACTGAATAACCATAAATGTAATAAGGCTTAACCATAAATGTAATAAACTGCCCAGTACCTCTGAGAGTCAGGGGGCCACAAACCCATCGAGGGAACGACCGCGCTTGGGGTGAGCAAAAAATAGGGAGAAGTCGAGAGGCGGTGACTGAGAAGGGAGAGGGTAGGGAGGGAGGGAAGGACACCCTTCCCCCTCCACCTGTTCCTTATTTTCTCGCACTCGCTCTCCATTTCGTTGCCTTCGCGTGCTTTTGGAAACGCTTGCTACGCAGGCTAAGATTCAGATAGTCTTTTAAAATTAAAAACATATTTATATCACTGCGTTGAAAGAAGGAAAACGCTTAATTTCGCTAAAAGTCTTCTTCCTAACTATTCTAAAAGCGCGATAAAATCTAAGTATCATATATCATATTAATCAGATAGTGAAAAAAAACGCCAAAAAAAAAAACGAATTTCCTTAAATCTGCTTACATGATTTAAGGTTGTCCATTTGTTGGAGATTTTGAAACAAGCTGATTTCGAGATTTGGGACTGCCTGTCTCCTCCCTACCCCCGACGTGCGAGTCAAGCGGTAGCCTATCTGGGGTAGAAAACGCGATTCTTCCAGCCAATCAGTGCCTGTGTTCAGTTGAAGTGTTAACAGCTGTTAACAAACGATTTTATCTTTACCAACTGGGGAAAGCAGACCCAGTGGGGAGTGTTGTTTACAACCTGAACTTCCAGGCCTCTTTGTTTCAAATGGCATGCCATGGCACGAGAGAAAAGAGGAGGGAAAATTGTTGGCGGGCCGCCGTGCACTCCACAGTTGCGCGCCACATTGCTGCAACTTGATTGGTCGAGAGTTGCCTGGCGCGGAACTCAAACTTGTCGAGCAGCACGAAGCACTGCAGTCCACTGCGATGTTTCGTACGAACAGCAAGGTGGCTAGAAATATGGCTTCTTTCTTCGGAAAACATCTGATTTATCCCTCGTCTGGCGTTCCTAAATCCATGGCTGATCTTCGGAGATACGAGGGATTTTTTCCCAACATGAGTGGAGCAACGTATGATCCCATTTCCCTGATGAACGAAGAGAAGAATCTTAGCCGTGAGCCGAACAGTAGCTTTTCTTCAGATTCCACAACTCCATCCCACGATGATGACATCTTTTCGAACGCTACCTTTACGTTTTCAAGGTATTTTTTAAATGTTCATGACATGGAAATTGCATGTTTTGGTCCGACAAAACTGTTGCTGGTTTAGTCGAGCTGTTTACTTGTGTATTTCTATTCTCAAGTATAAACTTGCGACTTGCTTGTCCAAATTCTTAAATATTTGTTTCTTTCCAGCAGTTTGTCTCGACTAGGAAAGCTAGAATTTTTTTTGAGATAACGATTTTAGTTAGTTTTCCACAGCTACTAGAAATATAAACATCCAGCAATATCAACAAGTGCTTTTTCGTGTGTGAGAACTTTTCATTTCTCACCGAGAAAAGCCAAATTGGAATCATTGTGACTAGATGATTTGCATTTGAAAGCATGGAGCAGCGAAACCAAGCGTTCTTTTCTTCTCGCGACAATAAGTGATAATTGCAAGACTTGCAAAAATTTGTGATCATATGTGCAAGGTGAAAAATCAGCTTTTGCATTTGGTTTCCCAGTTTCACCAACGCCAACCGGTCTTGTTTATTTTTGCTGTCAATTTTATCAAAGTTTGTTGTCAATCAGTTTGATATGAATGAAATTATTAAATTAACTCAAAGTTGTAAACGCCACTATCTAATTTGCTGCACAGCCACATATTAGCAAATTCTTCAGCCACCTGTTTTGAAGGATTATTTTGCGCTTGTACCAATGTACTTGTTTTGCACCCTCAGCAGTGGTGATGACAGCACAGGATCGAGTCAAACATCCAATGACGTTTATAATGAAGGTGAGCAAGCAGTGTTGCTGAAGACTCCAAAGAAGAATCTAGGGAAGCGAGTGAGTCCAAGAAAACCTCTCAAGCCCGTGAAAAGTGTAAATCCTTGGGATCCAAGCTTCAAAGGCGTCACTCTTCACATGAAAACGACGCTAAAGAAAGGTAAAAGGGGCCTAAAAACTCGATCCGAGGCGCAACTGGTGATCGATTGTTGCTTTACTTCCAAGAAGAAACGTCGCTGCTCAAATCCAGAGTTCGATTGCAAGACATCGAGAAGAAGGCTTGCTTCGCCAGGGCTTAATCCTTCAGTTTTCAAGCTGCAAAACTCTCCGGAGTCGTTGTTTAATGACAGAAGCCCACTGGACGTGGATTTGGGAACTGCGCCTATCCAAGTCGAGAAGGAATGCGCATCCTGCGGAACTTTCAAGACACCTCTGTGGCGTGATGCGGAGGATGGCACGCATTTGTGTAATGCCTGTGGAATCAGGTACAAAAAGTACAGGATCCGTTGTGTCCGTTGCTGGTATATTCCTAAAAAGGAGGAAAAAGCTTTACCCTGCTGTACTAGCTGCGGGCATACCTACAAAATTACTCTTAGTCGCAAAGGAAACCCATTTAGTTGTAGTGAGTAACAAAATCTTTCCCTGTTTGGTTTTAGTCCGCTCACTGTAACGGTTTTGAGTGTTTTACAAAGCATTAACATGGTAGCAGTGGAACATGGCGATGGCTTTAACATGGTAACGAAACTATGTACTGTCAGATTTCAGTTGGTGTGAAAATCTGATACCCTCAACCACAGTTCTGTGTTCGGTTTACTTGTATCAACTCTTGTGTTTTAGTGTTTTAGTGTCGCCAAACGAATACTTAGTATAGAACGAAGTTTTGAAGATGTTAGGAAGCAACCAAAGCTTTATGCTAAGAATAATAAGATTTCCTCTTGCACAGAACAAAAGTTTTGTTTATGTTTTGTAGGGTTTTTCCAGGCATAATTTCCATAATCTGCATAATCTGATGTGGTGCCATTTGAAACTTCCTGTCGGTCACGATGTACAATTACTGCTTAAACAGTTTAAATAACTAACCTATTAGTTTGTCTCTAAAGAAACTTCATTTTACGTGTTTCTAGTTTTTGCAAGGTCATTTCCATTTTATTTACTTTCTAATTTCATAACATGGCTTCACAGTTTACTATATTTCTTTGCCTCATCAACAAGGTTGTAAGTAAATTTAGGTTTTAGGCTTTAAATCAGAGATCAGATAATTTTTGTTCAGACTTCCTTTTTGAAAATTTATTAAAATTTTCAAAATATTATTATTGTATCTACAAGCCAAACTTGGAGGTGTTTTTTTCTAGTCTATATTAGTGGCAGATTATCAGTGTTCCTTTGTGAAAAATTTAAAGGAATATAATTTGCAAAAAAAAACTTTTTTGTGGCGAAAAAAGTTATACTTAGCTTGTCACAATCCTTGATGTTTGCTAATTTTAACTTTTAGTTAATACAGTGCAAGTTGTTTTATGGATGTCTCTCTGACAACACATGCCACAATTTAAAATTCTTCAGCATAATTTTGATAGTGCTTTTAGCGAAACTAAATTTGGTTCATAAGTTCCTGAACAATTTAGCAAGGAGTGAGAGGTTTTTGAGTTTGTGTTCTCATTTTCCATTGCCTTGCTACTAATTGCATTGTCATCAATTGTATATTTTTCCTCAGAGTGCAATATTTCACCTTCACTGAAAATTTAAATTATCTTAGAGGGGCTTTCGGCACTTTCAGGATGTAGAGTCAGAATTGAGGCTGTTTGTTTACCTTATTTATTAGTTGTGTATAGAATCCTGAGAGGTGCCATATGCATGTACAAGCCAGTCGATCTGCCTCAATGTATTAAGTTCCTGTCCTACTTAATAATATATTAGACTAACCTAGGAAGTTAAAAGTTAGTTGTATCATGTATATCTGTTAACAGGTGGGCGTAAAGTACTTTCAAACCAGGTTACTCTTGTAAATAGTATATGAAGGTATGTATTAAACTATTAATTACCTCATGTTCCCAGTTATCATGACAAGGACAAAATCAGCAGCATATTGTGGGGTTTAAGGGTACTTCACTCTATACCTCTAAGGGGCTATGTTTGCAAAAAAAACTAACGAACAAGCAAAAACAAAAAACAAACAAAAAAAACAATTTCAGATAGATAAAAAAGTTCACTATTTGATTGAACATATTCAAAAACGAATAAAATCTTAAAACGTGTGTAAGTTGTGGAAAAAAATTTTTTTTCATAAATTTACATAATCCAAAAAGTGATATAACCAGCCAAAGATTTTCAAAACCTGTAGCAATTGATTGCCTTTTGTTATCTCTTTTTCCTGTTTGATCTTTTATTTTAAACATGTTAAATTTTCAATACCCATTAAGTAAGAAAAAGTTACCAAATTCAGAGTATAGCACACAATCCAAAAAAAAAAAACAGCACTTGAAACAAAAATAAACAGCCAACAAAAACACCGCTAAAAACGATAGTCAGAGTCATTGCACGCAAGTGACCTGGAATACTATGGTCAGAAAATTCTCTTCCACAAATGTACACCGTTCCAAAATGTATTTTACAAAATGAACAGTACGAACATCGTAGCGTCAATTTTCTTTTTGTGAACACCTTTTTTAATTTTCGTGGCCCATTGTCCCGAGGGTTTTTTCAGGCGTGGCGGAAATACATCAGGATAAGGTATTAAAATAAGTCGCAGATTTTGCAGTTCTCATTCTTCGTTCAAGGAAGGAGAGCTTTTATTAGCTCTTGAAATGTTCGGTGCTGATTGATATCAAACACACCTTTTCTTCGTGAAACTGTATGCTAATCAAGCAGACTGTAGACAATGATGTCTTCAAAGATTCTTCTAAACAAAAATCCGCGCCCTGTCGTTTCCGACTTTGTTTTTCGCTTGAAAATACGAGCTTCCAGTAAACAGATAAACCTGCAAAATTTTGCGGTTTAAAAATCGCTTTTTTAACCTGTTTGCAGCTGTCATGAGTTGTTATAATTCATGCCCATGCCATTTCGAATAAGTCCACGTGCTCGAGGCAACGCCCCTTGCGCCCACGGTGTGTTGGAACTAATAAATGACTTGATCATTCTGACAAATTTTCGTAAGAAGTTTGGGAGAACTCGAAGAAACTATGGAAACACTCACCTACGGCTTGTGGTCAGACAGCATTTCTCGTTCTCCAAAACGTCCAATCCCGTCTCTATTTAACAATTACTTTATGAGCTTGAGATTTCTATGAGGTGATCATGATAGTTGTTCTCTGTAACATTTTCAATAACAGAGAAGATGAAAAAATCCTTTACAAGAATTGAAGAAATGGCGTCTCCGTCTGGAATTCCATCCCACTTTCAGTGAAATTACTAATTAAATCTAAACAACGAAATAAAATAAAGGAACTACTCCTCGATGTGTTACAATGTGTAGATGACTATATTGAAGTCTTCCAACTGATACAAAAATTAATAATATTATTTTCTAGTCGCTCATGTATTCGCACATTACACCGTTAATTTGTTTTTGGTTACCTGTAGTTTTTCCTATTGTGAAAATCTAATCTAATCTGCTAGGCGTTCAAAACGTTTTATAAATCCTCCTCACAGATACCTCGAAAACGCAAAGAAGTGGCCGTCATTTTTTTAACAAGCGCACATTGCTACGCTACTCACTGTCTGTCACAAAATAGCGAGTAAGTAGCGGAGCCACTCAGAGAACAGCATTCGTGATAGAACGCTAGTAGATTTATACTAATTAACAATTAGACCCGAGGCCCTTGGGGGCGAAGGGTCTAATTGTTTTAGTATCACCCAACTAGTCGGACAGAAAAGGCAATAATAAAGTTAGCAA